CGCATCTATCGAGATGATCATATGGTTCTTATTTTTAAGTCTATTGATGTGGTGAATAACATTTATTGATTTCCGTATATTGAACCAGCCTTGCATCCCAGGGATGAATCCTACTTGATCATGGTGTACAATTTTTTTTATATGTTTTTGTATCCGATTCGCCAGAATTTTATTGAGGATTTTTGCATCTAGGTTCATTAGAGATATTGGTCTGTAGTTTTCTTTCTTTGAAGTGGCTTTGTCTGGTTTAGGTATCAGGGTGATGTTGGCCTCATAGAATGAATTTGGAAGTTCTCCCTCCTTTTCTATTTCCTGAAGTAGCTTGAAAAGTATTGGTATTAGTTCTTCTTTAAAGATTTTGTAAAATTCTGCTGTATACCCATCGGGACCTGGGCTTTTCTTAGTTGGTAGTCTTTTGATGGTTTCTTCTATCTCCTCAATTGATATTGGTCTGTTTAGGTTTTCTATATCCTCCTGACTCAATCTGGGCAGATCATATGACTTAAGAAATTTATCTATGCCTTCACTATCTTCTAATTTATTGGAGTATAAGGATTCAAAATAGTTTTTGATTATCTTCTGTATTTCTGAAGTGTCTGTTGTGATATTGCCTTTTTCATCCCGTATGCTAGTAATTTGAGTTCTCTCTCTTCTTCTCTTCACTAGCATCGCTAAGGGTCTGTCGATTTTGTTTATTTTTTCAAAGAACCAACTTTTAGTTTTGTCAATTTTTTCAATTGTTTCTTTTGTTTCGATTTCATTAATTTCAGCTCTGATTTTAATTATTTCTTGCCTTCTACTTCTTTTGCTGTTGTTTTGCTCTTCTTTTTCAAGGATTTTGAGATGAAGTATGAGATCATTTATTTGTTGGTTTTTTCTTTTTTTAAGGAATGAACTCCAAGCAATGAATTTTCCTCTTAGAACTGCTTTCAATGTGTCCCATAGATTCCGATATGTTGTGTCTGTGTTTTCATTTATCTCTAAGAATTTTTTAATTTCCTCCTTGATGTCTTCTATAACCCATTGATCATTCAGTAACCTATTGTTCATTCTCCAATTGATGTATGCTTTTTCCTTCCTTCTTTTATCGTTGATTTTCAGTTTCATTCCATTATGATCAGATAAGATGCATGGTAATATCTCTACTCCTTTATATTGTCTAAGAGTTGCCCTGTGACATAATATATGATCTATTTTTGAGAAGGATCCATGTGCTGCTGAGAAAAAAGTGTAACTGCTTGATGTTGGGTGGTATACTCTATATATGTCAATTAGGTCTAGGTTATTAATAGTGTTATTGAGTTCTATAGTTTCCTTATTCAACTTTTGTTTGGAAGATCTGTCCAGTGGCGAGAGAGGTGTGTTGAAGTCTCCCATGATTATGGTGTGGTGGTCTATTAGACTCTTGAACTTGAGAAGAGTTTGTTTGACGAACATAGCTGCACCATTGTTTGGGGCATAAATATTTATGATTGTTATGTCTTGTTGGTGTATGGTTCCCTTAAGCAGTATGTAGTGTCCCTCTTTATCTCTTTTGATTAACTTTGGCTTGAAATCTATTTTATTTGATATGAGTATGGACACGCCTGCTTGTTTCCGAAGTCCATATGAGTGATATGATTTTTCCCAACCTTTCACCTTCAGCCTATGTATGTCTTTTCCTATCAAATGCGTCTCCTGTAGGCAGCATATTGTTGGGTCTTGTTTTGTGATCCATTCTACTAGCCTGTGTCTCTTAATTGGTGAGTTTAAGCCATTAACATTTAGGGTTATTATTGAGATATGGGTTGTTCTTCCAGCCATATTTGTTTATTTCTGTTACTAAACATTGTTTGTTTTCCTCTTTGATTGATTCCCCCCCCCCCTTTACTGTCCTACCTCCCACTGTTGGTTTTCATTGTTATTTTCCATTTCCTCTTCCTGTAATACTTTGGCTAGGATGTTATTTTTTCTATAAACTATACAAACATACCTCTGAAACAAATCTCAGATGTGTAACCCACACTGTAATCAACTGTAAACCCTAGAAATATTAAAGAAATAAAATATGGATGACTGAGAAAACCAGTATTCTTTAATATTACTTTGGAAGCTGAAATTTCAAGCTGTAATCAAAGGAGACAAAAATAAAAAAAATAGCAAACATACAAATTATAAAATGGGACCCAGAGTTTTATTTTCAACTTATATGATTGTTTACCCAAGAAAATCAATGAAAAGCCTATCAGAATTAATAAGACATTTCAGTATGGGGACCAGATATAAACAGAAATTTAAAATGTACATCTTGCTGAGCACAGTTGCTCACGCCTGTATCTCAATGGCTCAGGTGCCCCTGAGTTCAATCCCCAATACCCAAAAGAAAAAAAAAAATCTTACATATTACATCTGTTAGAAAATGTAATAAAAAAGTACCAATTGAAATATTGTTTTGTATAATACATAATTTTCATCATATGCATATTAATGCAATCTAACTTTTAAAATTTCCTTCTTCTTTGCTCTGCCATTCTTATTTCACCACTTTGATGTCTTCAAGCCCCTTTTCTCCCCAGGGGAGATAATTAACAACCTGATAGTATCCTTCTACATTTTTCCAAGCTCATGTACTAATAAAAAGGCATATAAATTCACATATATTGATGTTGTACATCTTTTCATGTGATTATTTATATTTGTATATATTCTTCAGTAAGATATGTTTTCTGACTAAACTGTTTATGGTTAAGTTTTGAGAGTTCTTTATATAATTCTAGATACTACTAGTCCTTTTTTTGGATATGTGGAAAATATTTTCTCTTAGTCTAGTTTTTTCTTTACCTCCTCCTTCTTCTTTTTCTTCTTCTTCTTTTTTTTTTTTGTACTAGGGATTGAACTCAGAGACACTCAACCACTGAGCCACATCCCCACCTCTATTGTTTTAAAAATATTTTTTAGTTGTTGATGTACCTTTATTTTTATTAATTTATATGTGGTGCACATGCAAGGAGAAATAAAGTGAAAAACATATATATCATTTTACTGAATATTTGCAAATATTTTCAGTGAATTAATATATACTCTTTTTTAGATTATATAGTCCAAATACCTAATTGTGTGAAATCAAGTTCCTTTTCTACTTGTGCATTGTCAGTGTATAGAATCTAACTGATTTTTATGTGTGTGTTAATTTTGTTTCCTGCAACTGCTGCATTCATTTATTAGTTCTAGTAGTTAGTTTTGTAGAATCTTTAGAGTTTTCTATAGATAAGTGCTGAGAGCCATAGCCAAGTAGGAATGACGCATGGCAGTTTCCTTGTCAGCCTACCCAATGTTGCTTAGAAGGAGGACTCTCCATTGTGGAAATGGGCTTGCCTTGGACCCAGGTCAATTGCAGTGACATTGCATGCATGTTTGAGAGTTTTGATTTGAAAGGTGACCTTGCTCAGGGATTAGGGCGGATCTGGGTTTAGGGTGGATCCTGCTGGGAATAGGGTGTATCCTGCTGCCTCAGGCGCCCGCTCCTTGAGTTCCCGTTAAGTTCTCACGGGATTCAGAGAGTATTTGGGATGCAGAGCCCGGTGGAGGTGTGGATTTTAGAGGGCCGGTGACAGTTTGGGAATAAAGAGCTGCTGTTTGAATCTACAAGGCTTTTGTGGTGGCTCGGTTATTTTGTGCCCAGCCAGACTGCGGCAGATAAGCTAATGTCATTTGTGAACAGAGATAATTTTACTTCTTCATTTCCAATTTGGATGCCTTTATTTTTTATTTTTTTCCTTGTCTAATTATCTGGCTCAGACTTACAATGCTATGTTAAATAGAGGTAATGAAAGCAGGTATCTTTGACTTGTTCCTGATATTAGAGGAAAAGCTTTTAGTCTTTTGGCATTAATTATGATGTTACCTGCAGGATTTTTCACATATTTATTATGCTAAGGTAGTTTTATTCTAGCTCTAGTTTCTTGAATGCTTATTTTTTTTTAAATCATGAAATGTTGAGTTTTTTAAAAAAGAAATTTTGTATTGAGATGATCTTCTGTTTATTTTGTTTGTTTGTTTTGTTTTTCATTCTGTTAATGTAGTATGTTACATTTATCAATGTCCATATATTGAACTGTCTTTGCATTCCAGGATTAAATCCCACCTGGTGATGGTGTATGATCCTTCCAAGGTGCTGTTAGATTTGATATGCTAATATTTTATTAAGGATTTTTGCATCAATATTTACTAGGGATATTGGTCTGTAGTTTACTTGTAGTGTCTTTGTCTGATGTCAGTGTAATGCTGACTTCATAGAGGAAGGAAGTGTTCCCTCCTCTTCAACTCTTTGAAACATATCAGAAGTTTAAGTGTTAATTCTTTCTGAATGTAGAACAGAATTCTCTAGTAAAGCCATCTGGTCCTGAGGTTTTCTTTGGTGGCAAGCTTTTGATTATTGATTCTACCTCCTTACTAGTTATTGATCTTCTCAGATTATCTATTTCTTTTCTTTCTTTCTTTTTTTCTTTCTTTCTTTTCTTTTCTTTTTTTTTTTTTTCACATCCAAGAACTTTATTGGACACAGCTGAGTGCCAGGGCCTGGTGGCTGGCATTCTGCCCCCAAGGGGACACCAGGCGCAAGGGGAGGTTCCATCCAAGAAGTCTCAGCAGGGGGGCCTCACAGGGCAACACGTTACCTAAAGAGTACTATATAATTGGGAGACAAGGGTTGCTCCACAGACACATGAACAGGTCAAATCTTTTATAAATAAACATCCAGTGAAGAGAAAAATGACAACTCTAATTCATCCTTATACACAGAGCACTCTGTGTATAAGGATGAATTAGGGCAGAAGGCGGGGGCCGGAGGCTGGCATGCTCACTGGTCCATGGCCTGGATGGGAGATGAGTGGGCCCAATGTCCACAGCACGTGGAAGAAGGAGCCAGGCCGGGCAACAGAGATGGGCACTAGGACACTGCGCATTTACAAGACCAACTACGGAGGGAGCGGCTGCCCTAGCGTGTGCGTCTGGCTGTTCGTTCTGGAATGAGGAGGGGGTGGTCTTTACATCGTGTTCTGTGGCTGGTGAGCTTGAGGCACTACTTTGTGGAAAGTATGAAGGCCACCATGAGACCTTAGAGGCCAAGCACCTCAGCAAAGATGAGGATCAGGATCATGCCCACAAACAGGTAGGGCTGCTGGGCAGTGCCCCGAACACCGGCGTCCCTCACAATGCCAATGGCAAAGCCAGCCGCCAGACCACACAGGCCCACGCTCAAGCCTGCACCCAGCTGGAAGACACTCCTGTAGCGATTAATACCATCATTCAGGGAGTTGGCGATGAGGACTGCCACCACCAGGCCGTAGATGGCGATGATCCCAGCCATGACCACTGGGATGATGGACTTAATGATCAGGTCCGGCCTCATGACTGACATGGCTGCGATGCTGGTACCACTCTTGTCCATGCCATAGGTGGCACCCAGGGCGCTGAAGATTATGGCAGATGAAGCGCCCATGACCGCCAAGGACAAAGCATACTCGGGGCTGTTCTTGGTCTTGGACGTGTCTGCGGGCAGGGTGGGGCGGGGGCGAGCTCAGTGGGTCCCGACAAGGTGAAAACGGCAGGCTGAGGAGCGGGCGCAGAGGCGAGCCAAGGCCTCAGATTATCTATTTCTTTATGTCTCAGTTTTGGTAGATTGTATACCTCTATTCACCCCTTTCTAGGAATTGATCCATTTCATCTAGGTTATCTAATTTGTTGGCCTACAGTTGCTCATAGTATTGTATTATAATCCTTTTTATTTCTGTGGCATCAGGATCTCACTAAATTGCTAAGTTGCTGAGGCTGACCTGAAACCTGCAATTCTCCTGCCTCAGCCTCCTGAGTCAGAAAGATTACAGACATACACCACTGTGCCTGGCTTTGGTTTGTGGTTTCACAGACTTAAGTCCATGGTTGGCTGGCTCCATTTCTTTAGGCCTAAAGTGAGGCAGAACATTGTGGCAGAAGGGCATGGCAGAGGAATATTGCTCAGCTCATGGCAGCCAGAAAGCAGAAGAGAGAGGGAAAGCAGCCAGGGACAAGGTGAAGTACCCAAGGGTATGCCCCCATGACCCACTTCCTCTAACCACACCTCATTTGCCTACTATACCACCCAGTAGTCCATTCAAATATTAATGCATCAAGTAGATTAATCCACTGATGAGGTTATAGTCCTCATATCCAGTTGCTTCCTAAAAGTCCTACCTCTAGACATTGCTGCATTTCTCTTAACACATGAGCTTTTGGGAAACATTACAGATTCAAACAGCACTTTGTTTTTATACATTGTGGATTTTCTGCTCTCAAATTCTATTTTAATTCCATTGTGATTGGAAAAGATATTCTATATAATTTCAGACATCTTGAATTTTGAAAGATGTGGCTTAACATGAGATTTATCTTATAGTATCCTTTGTCTCTTGTAATATTTTTTTTACTTGAAGTCTATTCTTATATTAGTATAACAACCCTGATTACTTTATTTATTTATCCCCAGCACTATAAAAACAAAAAATGTGTAAAGATGGATGTTAGTAGCTATGCATTTTTATATTTGCCTGGAATCTATTTCTGTCCTTCCAACTTTCAGCCTATGTGTATCCTTAGATCTAAAGTGAGCTTTATAGATAGCATATAGTAAGATGTTGTTTTACTTTGCCCATTTAGCCAATCTTATATTGGGAAATAAATTCATTTGCGTTTAAAGTAATTACTGATAGGGAAGGACTTACTGTTGGCACTTTGTTTATTGTTTTCTCTATGTCTTGTTTCTTTTTTGTCCCTTCTTTTCTTTTTGCCTTCTTGTGTTTCACTGATATTTTGTAGTGACAAGCTTTATTTTTCTTATTTCCTTTTGTGTGTGTGTGTATGTGTGTGTGTGTGTGTGTGTGTGTGTCTATCTCTGAGATATTCTTCTAGTTACTATTTTTCTTTAACTTTTGAAGGAGAGTTTTGTTGAACACTGCAAACTTTCTTGGTTGAAAGATTTTTGTTTTTCCCTTCAGGCCTTTGAATGTCTCGTACTATTATTCTGGCCTGCAAGGTCAGAAATCCCCTGATAATTTTATGGAAGTTCATATATATATATATTCTTATATGTGTGTATTAAGATGTTGATGAACCTTTATTTATTTATATGCAGTGCTGAGAATCGAACCTAGTGCCTCACACATGCTAGGCAAGCGCTCTACCACTGAGCTACAGCCCCAGCTCCCCATTATATATTGATGAATTGCTTTTCTTTTGCTGTTTTCAAGAGTCTCTTTGTCTTTGACATTAAACAGGTTACAATGTATCTTGATGTGATTTGGGGGGCTGTTTTATCCTCCTTGATGTTCTTTGAACTTCTTGAATTTGTTATGTGCTTTTCTTGGATTTTAGAAGTTTTGTTGGATGTGGTAGTACACACATATAATCCCAGCCTCTTGAGAAGCTGGGGCAGGAGGATCCCAAGTTCAAGGCCAGCTTAGGATACTTAGCAAGAGCTTGTCTCAAAATAAAAAATAAAAAGGGGCATCTGGGTGTTGGCACACACTGGTAATCCCAGGAGCTCAGGAGGCTGAGGCAGGAGGATTATAAATTCAAAGCCAGTCTCAGCAATTTACTAAGGACCTAAACAACTTAGTTAGATCCTGTTTCTAAATAAAAAATACAAAGGGCTGGGTATGTGGCTCAGTCATTAAACACCCATGGGTTAATTTGTGAATACCAAAAAATAAAAATATAGCCAGGCACGGTGACACATACCTGTAATCCCAGCAGCCCGGGAGGATGAGGCAGGAGGATCCAGAGTTCAAAGGCAGCCTCAGCAAAAGCGAGGCACTAAACAACTCAGTGAGACCTGTCTCTAAAATACAAAATAGGGCTGAGGATGTGGCTCAGTGGTCAAGTGCCTCTGAGTTCAATCCCTAGTACCCCCCAAAATAAAACTATAAAAAATAAATTAAAAGGGCTGGGGATGTATCTCAGTTGTAGAGCACCCTTGAGTTCAATCCCCAGCACTATAAAAACAAAAAAAATGTGTAAAAATGGGTGTTAGTAGCTATGCATTTTTATATTATTGGTGTATTTTTCTGTGTATTTGGATTGTATTATAATAAAAATTACATTGAGAATACATGGGAGATTAGAATATAAAGATGTGGTATGCTGAGAACTCTAGAGAAGTTTTGCTATGTAGGAGAAGAAATGAAACAATAGCTAAGGAATGATATGGAGGCAAAGGTCTTTTCCCCCCTTTTTGCTTCTTGCTTTATTTATCTTTATTTTTAACCTTATTAATAATATGTTTTATTCTTTTTAGATATACATGACAGTAGAGTGTATTCATGTATGTGCACGGGAAAGTTATGTCCAATACATTCTATTGTCTTTCTTATTCTTAGCACCCCTCCTTTCTCTTCATTCCCCTTTGTCCGATTCACTGAACTTTAGTTCTTCCCCTCCACCTCTTGTTGTGTGTTAACATTTGCATATCAGCCTTTGGTCTTTTGGGATTATCTTATTTCACTTACACGATAGTCTATAGAGCCATCCATTTACTGGCATATATCATAAAGTCATTCTTTTTATGGCTGATTAATATTCCATTGTGTGTGTGTGTGTGTGTGTGTGTATCCATTCATCTGTTGAAGGGCACCTAGATTGGTTCCATAGCTCAGCTATTGTGAATTGAGCTGCTATAAACATTGATGTGGCTGTGTCACTGTCGTGTGCTGATTTTAACTCCTTTGGATATAGACCAAGGAGTGGGATTACTGTGGTTATCAAATGGTGGTTCCATTCCTAGTTTTTTGAGAAATCTCCATACTGCCTTCCAGAGTGGTTACACCAATTTGCAGTCCCACCAGCAATGTATGAGTGTACCTTTTCCCCTATATCCTCGCCAATATTTATTGTTACTTGTATTCTTGATAATTGCCATTCTGATTGGAATGAGATAGAATCTCAGTTTAGTTTTAATTTGCATTTCTCTAATTGCTAGAAATGTTGAACTTTTTTTCATATATTTGTTGACTATTCGTATTTCTTTTTCTGTGAAGTGCCTGTTCAGTTCCTTAGTCCTTTTATTGACTAAGTTTTGTTTTGTTTTTAATAAATAAACCCCAACCCAAACAAACAAACAAACAAAAAAACTCCAACATTTTCTTGACTCTTAGCCTTTGAAACTGTACTTTTAGGATTAAGACCCTTTTCCTAAAGTAAATAGCAGTCCCAGATTAGTATTGGTTTCCATTTTTGGTCAGTAAATTTCCATAATATGAAATCACATGTAATATGTTGTAGTATTAAAAGAACAGAAGCAATTTTGAAACATTTCCCTAAACTCTTCTTTAGCTTTTTGAGAGAGATTGGCTTACTTAAACTTAAGTCACAGTGATTTTTCAGGAACTTAAATGCAGCAATGAAAACTGGTCTTCAAAGCAATTTCTAAATTTTACCTCCTTTGTAACATTTTTTTCTGGATCAAACTAATCAGTAAAGAAAGTCTTTTGCTCAAAGGCAGATTTATGATGGAATTACTGAATCTTAAGTGTTCTTTGACCTTATTCAGTATTCACAAAGTTATACTATTATAAAATTTGCAAGAATAAGATATATTAACTGCAGACAGTTAAAGTCAGTTGTATAAGGTTTTATTGGAGTGGCCAGTGGTACTTTGATGTGGACAGTTGAGTTTAGGCGCACATTTTCTCTGAGTTTAATGGGTTGTGTGGAAGTTACTTGCATCCCTATCTAAGGCATCTTCAGTGTGTTCCTGTGGCCCACTGTGCCTGCTCAGCCAGCAGTAAGACTGGAAGGTTCAAGACCAGAGTCCAGAGCACCATATGAAGGGGCTTTGAAAACAACTTCCATACCTTTCTCAAGGGTTCTACCTCCTGGTATTCATGCCCTGTGCAATTTGCTTCCCTTGAATTGGGATGCAGTACTCAGGGGTCCCTTCCAACTGAATAGGATGAGATGTCACTTTTGTGATTAGGTTACAAAAGAGACAGTGTCTTCATCTTTGTTACATATTCCCTCTTGCTTACATACTCTGATGAAGCAAGCTGTCATGTTGTGAGATGCTCAGGGAGAGGCCCATGTTAAAAGAAATTTTTAAAAAAATAGTAATCATAAGAAATAGAATTTCTCAGATTTACCTGTTTGTGACCACAAACCTATAGGAAACTTAAAATGTTTAATATATCTCTTATAGCTGACATATGAAAGAAATTTGATGGAGGTTTTCTAAAATTTTCCTATAATAATGTAGCAGTAATATATTATAAAGGCATTTCAAGTAATTAATGAAAAAATTGTTTTCTAGACTTTGTAAATTTTGTGGTCTTAAAGCTTGTATTTTGTTGTTATTTATTTTCTTACTTTAAATACTAATTCTTACCTATTAAAAAAGTAAAATAAGAAAAACTTTACATTGCTGAGGAATTTTATTATTCAATGTATTATGTTTAAAAGTGGAGTTATCACTTT